GTGGGGTGTGGGTGTGGGTGTGGGTGTGGGTGTGGGTGTGGGTGTGGGTGTGGGTGTGGGTGGGGGTGGGGGTGTGGGCGTGGGTGTGAGTGGGGTGTGTGGGTGTGAGTGTAGATATAAATGTGGTTGTGGGTTTGGGGTGGCTTTGGGTGTGTTTAGTTATACAAACTATATTATTACACCCACACCGGCACTCTATCTCACACCCACACCCACACCCAAAATATAAACTCCAACAAGGGCTCACTAGAAAAGATATTTCATGGGATGCCAAAATTTCCAAGGCCGAGTTTCTCGAACTTGAATTTTCAAATGTACCACCAAAACAATATGTGACTGCTACAATCGCCCAAGCCTTCGACGTCGAAATCTTGCGACTTCCGGTAAAGCTTTGTACACTCAATCTCATAGAGCTTGCGTGAGCCCAACTCAAGTTACATGTGCGCAACACAAATGTTAATTTTCGTCTTTCCAATGTTGAAGATAGTGCGCTCGACTTTATTGATGCCGTTGATGAAGACTTAGCACAGAGCTTCATCAAGCATACATACAAAATCGAGAATATTTTCAAAGCAGCCGATGCGATTGTTGAAAACAATATTGAGTCACAGTTGATTGAAACTGATGACGAAGAAAATTCATCAGCAACAGATGACAACGAGTCTGATATATCTGAGTGATAATTTGTATGCGTCCCTCTTTTGTACTATCTACACTTGTAATAAATTCTCTCATGCATACATATATCATTGTGATCAAATAGACAGAAAAAAATAATAAACATAAACGAGTAAAAACTCAATTTTTCTCGTGAATCGATTAGTGAAGATGGGAAGAAATAGACATACACAATGTGATATGAAGAAATCAAAGACCTTCTATCACCTCTATCAATCAAAAGTTTAAGAGAAAAAAAATTGAAAATTTAGCATCATTCGATTTCAGGAGATTTTTTCTTGTATCTCAGAAATATATGAGGAGAAGTCTGAAACTTTCAGCGTCTATAGAGCAGATGATAGGCTACAAATTGGCTAAATTGCAATTAAGAATTTATGTATTAAAAAAGAGTCTGTCAGCATTTCATTAAAAACATCTGTAATACTTCTAACAACACTTCACAGTTCATTGACTCTTAGTTAAAGAGGCACTCCCAGCCAGCCTCTATCTAGCGGTGAAAACCGCACTTCAATAGCTATTGGGGTTGCAGAGTTATTAAACCAACAACCGAGTTCACTTTATTTTGAAATGGATAACAATTATAATTGAATGGCTGTGTGCTTTCAGTTTATTAATCAATGCGAAAAATCAGAATGATAATGGGCAGTTCTTTTTCTTTTTCTCATTAAATAGGATATGAGTCTTCATTTTTTCGTGGAAATGGCTAGAAAAGGAATATTTATTTTCACCAGGAGGTAGCACTTACAGTACGTTCAAATCGATGATCATAATGGCTTCAATTTTATTTATGGATGAGGAGAGAAATAAAGATTAAAATATGATGCGGTGTGTTTTAGAGGATAAAGCAACGTAGCAATAGAGGACAAATATATAAATGAAGAAGGATCGCGTCAATCAGAAAAAGAAACTTGATGTGTCACGTTTATCGGAGTAATCACGAGCCGATATTAGTGATTACAAATGAAAAGGCATCGTGCTTGTTTGTGTCTGAAAAAAAAACAGATATGCAATGAAATCTAGAAATCAAATAATATAATCGATATAAATGGATAGTGACAAGAGACAAATTCTGATGTCAACCAGAATGCAATTGATGGTTAGCAATATGGCAAGCCCTATTACTAATGTATGTCCAGAATATTTTCGGGATACAGAACATGCGTATTTGCAATTACTTTCTCACTTGTCAATTTGCTGCCATTTTCGTTTATCTCGAATCATTTTCATAGAAAAGATAATGAATTCATAGTTTTGAATGCTTGAAATTTTGTTGATTTTTGTATTTTTGATAGGAAAAGGTTTTGCTATTTATTTTGAGACGGTATTTCATACTACGCAATTCATACTGAGATTATACCAAAATGTTTCTTTACATGTTTTTCTTTTATCTCTCTTCTTTCATTGTTAGCTAAGGTTTGAATAAACAAATGGTGAACTACTATAAATATAATTGATTTGTACATTTCAAAATGTTTTTTTCATCACATATATTTCTGACATATTTCAGCAATGGCAATCTGCAATAATTACAGTAATATTCGTAAAGGCAAAATGATTATTTTATATAGTTTTTATGACCGTTCCACGGATCTAATCTAGCAAAGATATAAAAATTATATAATTTGGAAAAATCGATACTTTGAAACATTTCATCAGATCCTCAGAAAGGCTCGATTTCTCTATGAAATCTGTCATATTACAAAATAGCCTCAATCTGATAATTGAGAAAGTATATGAAACTTCTTTCATCTACTTTAGATAATATTATAGAAGAAGAAAATCAATTTGTTTTCATGCTTACCTCACTATACCAAAATATTGGATAGACAAGTGGATGAATCTTTGAAATTGGACTGAAAATAAAAGAACATGCCTTCAATAAATCTGAAGTAAACTGTATCTGTTTCATAACCTGATCGATGAATCATTTATTGCATTAATATTGTATTGTAAGCGACGGGATCCATTTGCGATAACTGTTTGATCGAGATTAAATCAATGTTTTTCGTTATATCTAATCAATACTTACTTCCAGTTGTTGGCTCAATATCTGCAAAGCTTCGATGTATTGTATCATTTGGATGCATGCCTTCAACAGCATCCAATACGATTGGATCAGCGTCAAGAAAGTGTGGATTAGATGCAATTATAGGGAATGGGATGCTTAGACTGCCACCAACTAAAAATGCATAGGTTACCTGATATTTTTTAGTTTGTAACAAACATAAATGATTAACTTACAATGTTGACATGGAGCCTGTGTGAAAAGGCCATCTGGTAAGCATTGTAATTCATAGATGTTATTGAAAGTGGTACCATTCATGCAAAAACCGCGGTTTTCACTTGAATTAGAAAAAATAGTATGTGGCAATGTATAATGATATAGATCGACGTCAGCAATATTCCTTCGCGTTTCATTAAAGGTTAAATAGATTGATCGACAAATATCAGGTATAAATGCATAGATTCGTTCGTCTTTTGTTGCATTCGAATGCCACATAGTACCATCTGTTCCATTGATCATATTCGCATATTGATCGGACCAAATCAACAAACTTGTCAAATAATTAAATCGCTCGATAGTACCAACCGGATCAACACGTTCTATGCCATAAGCATTATCACCTACACCATTACTGACTAAAAATGTATCATAAGCGATTGAATCTACCTGAAAAAAAACATACATCATGGAAGAATTTTTAGTAACAGATCTGCTAGCAAAATCATAAGAAAAACAACAGTGTCACATATCCAAGACTTTGGAGATGCCACCACATCTCCTGC